CAGGCTCTGTGGGGCAGGAATTCGGAAAGGGCACAGCAAGGACAACTCTTATCTGCTCCGTGTGTGGGGCTTCAGCTCAAACGACTTAAGCTGCTCGGGGGAAGGGGGCTGGGATCTAGAACAGATAAGGCTGAAGGATCCACTGAGGAGATGGCTACTTCATTCACACATCTGGTGCCTGGGCTGGAAAGGCTGGGGGGGAGGATGAAGAGCAGGCTGAGCCTGATTGACAGCCTGTCACAGCCCCTTCCTGTGGCCTCCCCAGCGCAGTGGTCTCGGCATAGCCGGTCTTCTTAAATGGCCGCTCAGGGCTCCAAGCGTGAGTGGCACGGTGGCAGGTGCAGGGAGCATTAGGACCTAGCCTCAGACGCCGCGTAGCGCCACGTCCTCTGTGGGCAGAAGCGTTCACAAGCCAGCCTAGATTTAAGGGGAGGGCACAAAGATTCCATCTCTTGAAAGGAGGCATATAGACAAAATGTGTGGCCAAGTTTTAAACCTCACGTGGCAATAGATGTATCCTTAAAGTTGACCTTGCTCCTCTTCCACTAAGTGAATGTCACGTTTTAGGTTTTATTACCACAGACTCCATTTCCAGTGTTAGTTGGGAATTACTTTAATCTCGAATGAGGACCTGACTAAAGTGGCTTAAATGCGTTTATGTCAAAGAAACCCTCAGGGAGGCAGCCCGGGGCTGGCGTGGCACTTCATAGATTCTTCAGGGATCCTGCTCCTTCCAGCTCTCTGACTTACCATCCCTTGTATAGTTATATTCCAGGCTACAGGAAGGAAGAAGGGAAAAGAAAGATTGAACTTTTAAAAAAATATAGGTGGGGTGTGTTTTGTTTTGTTTCTTATTGATTTCAGAGAGGAGGGGAGAGAGAGAGAGGAACATCAACGATGAGAATCATTGATAAGCTGCCTCCTGCATGTCCCCTTCTGGGGATCTAGCCTCCAATGCAGGCATGTGCCCTGACCGGGAATCTAACTGTGATCTCCAGGTTCATAGGTCAATGCTCAACCACTGAGCAACACTGGCCAGGCTGAACTTTTTTCTCTTTAAAGGAGACTTCCTGCAACTCCCACATATACTTCAGGTAACAAAGCAACCAGAATGTAGTCTCATGATCACATAATAGGAGAAAGACTAGAAATTTTTTTTTTTTACCTGTTTTGCAACATCTTCAGCTAAAAATCAGTTCTATTACTGACAAAGGATGATTTATAGACAATTGGCAATCTTGCTGCAAGTACCTACTAGATAGACATTGCCACCTGCACTTCCTAAAGGCTACATCTCCAAGTAGCAGCAGTAACCTGGGTAAGTTGCCACAGAAAAAGAAAAGATGTGTCTGAGAGTGAAGGGGGCTCTTCCCAGGCCAAAATACTTTCTCGAATCTCCTCATCACAAGTCTCCCAGGCCTTTAACCATTCTGGAACTTAAAGAGATCCGAGTACGACACTAGACATAATCTAGAGCAAACCTTGTGACCAGCAAATTACCAAGGTGAAGGTGGGGAGGGGACTTCCACAAGGATTACAATTATAATATTCCTATAGCAAAGAAAGTTGTGTCTTATTACCCAGTTACTTATTTTAAGAATTATTCCATATAGCCTGGCCGGCATGGCTCAGAGGTTGAGCATCGACCTATGAACCAGGATGTCACTGTTCCATTCCCAGTCAGAGCATATGCCCGGGTTTTGGGCTCCGTGAAGGATGTGTGGAAGGCAGCCAATCGATGATTTCTCCCATCATTAATGTTTTCTCTCTCTCTCCCTCTCCCTTCCTCTCTGAAATCAATAAAAAAAATTTTTTTAAAGAATTATTCAATACAACAAATTTCCAGGCACCAATAGCACTTCCTATAGAATAAATGGTCTATAATATGATTTAACCTGAAAAACAACTGAATTCAAATTTAAAAAGTGACAGAGATTGGGATTGTTTAGTCTGAAGAAAGAAAACCTGAAGACTATCACAACTTGCAAATGGCGCAAGATAGTGACTGTGGGGAGAATCAGTCACTCTCCCACTCCCCGAGGGCAGAACAAGAATAAGAAAGACTACTGGCTGTAAGAAGACAGAGAAGGAAGACAAGACACGATGGTGTATCCCATGGGCCAGGCTCCTTCAAGTCTTTCTTTCTCTTTCTTCCTTCCTTTCTTTTAGGATTAAGGGCAATAAAAAATGTTTCTGATTGTAAAACAAGAATATGATTATTGTGTAAAAATCAAAAAATGCAAAAGCACATAAAGAAGGAAACTAAAATCAGTTATCATTCCAAAAGTCAGAGATCATTATTATTTGGGGGTTTATCCTCATCTCCTCATTGGATACTTTAAATTTTTTTACAAAAGTACAAAAATCCTATACATTCATTTTAAAAAAAAAAAAATTGTGATAAAAATACCTAACAAAATTTAGCATCTTAACCATTTTTAAGAGTATAGCGTAGTAGTGTTGACTACTTGTATATTCACATTGTTGTGCAACAGATCTCCAGAATTTTTCATTTTGCAAAACTGAAACTCTACACCCATTAAACACAAGTTCCCATTTCACACTCCTCCCAGCCCCTGGTAACTACCATTTTGCTCGCTGTTTCTATGAATTTGATTACTTTAGGTACCTCATGTAAGTGGAATCACACACTCTATGTCTTTTTGTGACTGGCTTATTATACTTAGCATAATATTCTCAAGATCTAGATTGTAGCATGTGACAGGATTTCCTTACTTTTTAAGGCTGAATAATATTTCATTGTATAATGTCACATTTTGTTTATCCATTCATACATCAAGGGGCCGTGGCTGCTCTCACCTCTTGACTATTGTGAATAGTGCTGCTATGAACATGACGTACAATATCTCTTAGACACCCTCCTTTCAAGTCTTTTGGATATATACCCAAAGGTGGGATTGCTAGATCATATAGTAGTTCTATTTTTAATTTTTTGAGGGACCACCATACTTTTTTTTCCATAGCAATTGTCTGTGTTCACTTTTAAACTCATTTGGATAAGTACCAAGAAACACAATTTCTGCATCATATGGTTAGAGTATTTTTATACGGGTTTTTTTTAATGTATGTTTTTAAATACATTGAAGCTTTTACTTTTTTGTTGTTAATCCTCACCCAAGGATTTTTTCCCATAAAATTTTAATTTTCTATTAATTTTTAGAGAGTGGAAGGGAGGGGGAGAGACAGAGAGATAGAGAGATACCTCGATTGGTTGCCTCATACTCGCGCCCCAATGGGGGCCACGGATCTAACCTATAATTATAGTACATGCCCTTCACCAGAATCAAATCCACTACCCTTCAGTCTGAGGGCTGGCGCTCTAACCACTGAGCAACCGGTTAGTGCTGAAGCTTTTACCTTTTGTTGACAAATCTACCAACCTTTTCTTTCATAATTTCTGTCTTTGGCTTTGTTTAGAATTTTCCCTTCTAAAATTTTATAAATCTTCACCTGTACCTTTCTCTAGTAGTTCTATGCTTTTCATTTTATTTTTCCATTTCAATCTTCGTTTTATTTTGACATGAGACCAATATCTAATTTCATTTTTTCGTGGCTTTCTTTTTCCTTCCGTGCTTACATATAACTTCCTCTAAATATTTAATTCACACAACAGCTCCAAAAGAGTTCCCATTTTACAAACAAGGAAACTGAGGCAGAATGATAACTCATTGCATTTAAGGTCACAGAGCCATACGTAATTTATATGATCAGGATTCAAGCCCAGGTCTTTTGGTGCCAAGTCCTGTTCTCTCTTCACCACAGCCATGGTGCTCAAAGTATGGTCCACGGACAAGCAACTTTGGCAACACCTGGGAACTTATTAGAAATGGGAAGTTCTGGGTCCCACCCCATACCCACTGAATCAGAATCTGCATTTCTATCAAGTTTGAGGAGTACTGTTGTGCATCATATTTTCACAAACTTAGGGCACATCAGAATCACCTGGGGCACTTGTTGAGCTCCATCCCTACTCAGTATTTTTTAACACAGCAGGTCTGGCTTGAGGACCACACATCTGCACTTTAACAAGCACCCCGGGTTGTTCTTATGCAGGTGGGCCCATGGATCATGCTTGAGAAATACTCTAAAAACAATTGAGAAATATTCAAAAACTGTAACCTAGGACCCCAAAAGTGATGGCTAATTATTTCTTCAGTTTTAATTTAGGTAAATGTTGTTTTCTTTAACTTGAAAAGGAGACAGCTGGGAGGTAACATGTCAGTATGTGGGAATTGGTAATTCATGAGGTGGATGACTAAATCTTCAATTTTACAGAGGATCAAATAAAGAAAAACGAAGGGCCTTCAACTGATCCAGAATTTAGAGGAGGCAGCTTGTGAAAGTAAGAGCAGCATGTTCAAGCAGACTGAAGGCTGCTTCCCCTACTTAAGATGTTGTCCATTACGTCCGTGAGTCCAGGTCTCCAGCAATAAAACAAAGGTCATAATAACCTATCAGCGGGTGGAAAGAACCTGCCGGTCAACTTTCTGAACTTTCGTCTCCAGTATCGATGTCTAAGGGGGGGAGGGAGGGGAAAATGAATGAACATTGCAGGAGACTAAGGAGCCTCCAGGGGCTCACGGGTTTGTTTGTTTGTTTGTTTATTTGTTTGTTTTGTGTGCGTTTCGTGTGTGTTTTCTGGGGGGACTTTGCCAGCTCAGCTTTGCCCGGAAGCCAGCGCCCCCTGGCCAGACGCGGAGACCGGGCGACTCCGAAGGCCCCTTGGATGCCGGGTCTGCGTCACTCGGCCGGAGGGGCATCCTCCTACCCGCCCCGGTGCTCCACACGGACTCCGTCATCGGTAATTCATTAAGGCCTCCTCCCCATTGGCTGACGCCTCCACCCCGGCTCTGACAGCGGCCCAATGAGGAAGGACTTGAGGGAGCTCTTCTGAATAGTGAACGAGCGCTCGTGACGTGGCGTCCGGCGATTGGCTGCCAGGGCGCCAGGCGGGGCCAGCTCGCACGGCGGAGAGCGCAGCCAGGGCAGTCCAGCGCGAGCGCGGAGGGTCAGACCCCAGCGGCGTGGCAGCGGCGCCGGGCGGAGCGGGCGGCGCGGGGCGCGGGCGCGGACGGCGGGCTCGGGACGCGCGGCAGGATGTTCAGCTGGATGGGGCGGCAGGCGGCCGGGCGCGAGCGCTCGGGCGGCGCGGACGCGGTGCAGACGGTGACGGGCGGCCTGCGCTCGCTCTACCTGCGCAAGGTGCTGCCGCTGGAGGAGGCGTACCGCTTCCACGAGTTCCACTCGCCCGCGCTGGAGGACGCCGACTTCGACAACAAGCCCATGATCCTGCTGGTGGGCCAGTACAGCACGGGCAAGACCACCTTCATCAGGTAACACCCCCACCCCCGCCCGCCCCGCCGCAGCCCCTCCCGGACCCCCGCCCCGCACCACCGGGCTGGAGGCGGTCTCCCCCTGGCGCACGCGGCAGCCGCCAGCCTCCCGCCGCCCCCGCCCTCGGGTCCGGGCAGCGCCCACTTCCCCTTTCGCGGACCCCCTCGCCGCCGCTTCCCCCTCCGGCATCGCCGCGACCTCGGGTTCCGCGTCAGAGCGCGGTGACCGCAGGCCCGCCTGCCCGCCCGCCCCGGAGCGCGACCGCCGGAGCGGGGCCCGCGGCCCTCCCGCGGGCAGGAGGGTCTGGGAACCTGTTCTCACGGACCTCAAGCCTCCTTCCTTGTTCTTGGAGAGGAAAGGCGCTGCTCTGGCAAGCTTTGTCCTGCCGTCTGGCTACAATCAGCATCTTGAGGAGCCAGTGAGGCCTAGTGCTTGGAAATGAGGGCAGTGGTGTGGGGTGTCAGAAGGGCTTTTGAGTCATCGTTGGAGAGTTCAGTCTCTCACACAGTACCCAAAGCGTAACTATTTATTGAATGAATGAATGAATGAATGGCAACAGTAGAGCGTAGTGCCTATGACCCCTTCCCTTGAGGTCGCATGCCAACTCCCCCCCCCCCACACACACACACCCAGTGTTGGGGGTAAGGGTTAAGGGTAGAGAGGCCACCTCCATTCAGTTCTTGCACAGTCTTGCCTTTATCCTCCCGCAGGAAGTAAGCTGCGTGTAGCAAACCACCGCACCCACTGGAACTAAGAGGGAGTGTCATATTACTATACTTAGTTTCCATTTCTTAGGTGGGTCATTTCTTCCTGGTCACCCTTGACAACTAAAAATATTTGTCATGCCCTCTGCGTCTCCAAAAGCAAACAATTACTGTTCGTGCCCGAAGGTTCAATAATACAGCCTCCTCGGTACTGACTTCTGATGGGAAATAATTGACATTGAAACAGACTTTTGAAGAGGCTATTTTACTTCTTACAGCAGCTGGCATATAAAGACTTGCCATTCTTTGGTGAGGAAACTTGTTTTCCTGGGTTAAATCCTGTGTCAATTGAAACAAAGTGCCTGGTCCAGGGTTTTGGAAATTATAACAGCTTCTTCATCGTTGATGTTCAACAGGTGTTCAGAATACTGTATCTATATTTGGATGCATGCCATTGCTATTAAGTAGTGCTCTCTTTTTCTCCATTCCAGAATCCTAAATAGTTCCCACAAATAGAGTAGCTGTCACTGCAGGAAATATGTTCAGTCCAGGCCTACAGATATTCTATGAATGAATTCAGCCAAGCAAATATACTATATTGAAATATAGTTCCAGACCAGTGATTTTCAACTGGTGTGGCATAAGAGTTTTTAAAACATGCAATACCTGACTAGTCAGGGGCACTGACCTCTATTCCCTTAGATTGTCAAATTAAAAATGAAAACAGCTGGCACAATAGCCGTCTAGTGTGAATGAATGAAAATTATACCTATTTTTATTTTTTGTCAGATTGGAAAAAATACAATGTATTGTTTGGTGTGCGCAAAATTTTAGTAATTGGTTTTGTGCTTTTAGATTTAAAAAGGTTGAAAATTGCTGTTCTAGGTAGTAACTTGAATTTGAAGCAAGACTAAAGAAAATAATTTTTAAATTGCTTTTTTTGGTGCTTATAATATGTTGAAAGCAATATTAAATATGTCACCCCAGATGCTCAAAATGATCCATTGAAATATTATAGTAACTGGAACTTTGAAAGATGATAAGACAATACATTTAAGGTCTTAAAAACAAATTTTTAAGTATATGGGATAATGAAGTATTACTCAAGTGGTTCAAGAGCGGGAGATACGGGATGAGGAAGTGGCATTGTTATAATTATAGTAATCGCAGACATTAATGGTGGCATGTTCACAGCACCCCGGGCAGTCCCGTCTGCCACGAGGGCTTTATTATACCCTTTGTGATTAGGGTATCCCCCTGGGTGTGATTCGGCTCACTATGCTCCCGTAGACAGCATAAGAAGCAAGCCTGAAGTAGGGGAGCACAATTCAGAGGAGCATGAATTGATCTGTATATTTTTTTAGTTTACAAATTCATTTTAGTGTTTCTCACTCTTCTCTGCTTCATCGTTTTGCAGGAGCTTTGTGGTATTGCCAAACATAGTTTTAAGAAGAATTTTGAGACCTGACACTTGGAGATTCTATCCAAGCGGAGCACTTCTCAGTAGGCACTGAGCCATGTGCAGCCTCAGGATGAGGGGGGAGTTACCATATCAGAAAGTCACTTGCTCTTGAGACCTCTCCTGGCCTAAGTGACTATGGCATTGGGTGGCAGGCATAGAGTGGACCTGCGAAGTTAGAAGGAAATCAGGGTGGTGGGAAGCTTGCTGAGGCACCAGAGACCTGAGTTTGGTTTCAGAGTGAAGCTAAGAGGAAGAGATCTAGTTTCTGGGAGGAAAGCCCCAAACAAAAGGGAGCTACCCTCTAGAGACCTGCACTGTAACTGGGAGCAGAGGGGTTGGCCTAGGGTGCTGACCATCCTGGATGCTGCCAACATCCATGGCTACCTTGTCTCTGAGGCTGGGCAGTGCCTATGTAGTTTGCTTCCAGCCATTGGGCACTAGAAGCTCATACTTGGCTGTGGGGTGCACCTATCTACGTAGTTATATATTCACCTGGCTTTCTGCACATCCCAAGAGGTCACTGATAATGGAGCCTGCACTGATATGGAGAGACACTTAACTTGTTGCAAAGCCATTTAGCAAGGCCTTTGGTGTGCATTCCACTCCTTTTTTTTAAATATATTTTTTTATTGATTTTAGAGAGGAAGGGAGAGGGATAGAAAGATAGAAACATCAATGATGAGAGAGAATCATTGATTGGCTGTCTCCTGCACGCCCCCTACTTGATATCTAGCCTACAACCCAGGCATGTGCCCTTGACTTGAATTGAACCCGGATACTTCAGTCTGTAGGCTGACGCTCTATCCACTGACCAAACTGGCTAGGGCCATTCCAGACCCTTGTAATGGAACCTTACTCTCCCTCCTTTTCCCCATAACTGGGAAGAACTAGGAGCCCTGCTAAAACATGGTGAGCCATGACCTTCTTCAGGAATAAGGAAATTAAGTGTGTGGCTTGTTGTAATGAAAAGGTCTCCTGGGTGGGGTGGATAAAGAATCTGAGTGTCAAGAAAAATACCCTCACTTCTGCATGAGATCACCAGGAGGGGCCCACATGCAAGGAAGAGGACGAATTGAAGGAAAGACTTGGTGGACGGTCCTCACAGGGATCACAAAACTGTCCTGAAAGAAGACTTCAGATGTGATGCAGATACTTGCCAAAGTCTCTTTGGGGTAGAAGCTGAGCAGTTGAAAAGCCTACTGTCTCACTGACAGTTTTCATCTCCCATAAGACAGAAGATGCAATGAGAGGAACTGTTGGTCTCTACCTCTGACCAGCAACGAAGAAAAAAGGGGAGAAAAAGAGATGGGCACAAAGAAAATGGCCATGACATCTTAGGCTCCAACAACCAAGGAAGGGTGGATGTTGGGCTCAGCCAGGCTTGTGTCCAAACCCAAGGAAAACAGATTTCCGAGATTTCCCCCAGAAAATTCCTGGGCCAGGTGTTGTGAAGGAAGACATTTCCGCTGAGAGGATACGAGGCTCACCAAAAATCAGTTCAAACCACACAGTTGCAACTTTTGATTTTTAAAAGCCTGGCTTGCTTTCTTCCTCCTACACCCTGTCCCCTTTTCCCAGAAAAAAAAAAAAAAAAAAAAAAAAAAAATTCTAATGAGGAGAAAAGAGAGAAGTTATTCAAGAAACTGTATGGGCTTTAAAAGGTCAGAGACCAAGACAGTTAGGTAAGAAAAAGAAATAGAAGGTATGTATTATAGGTTGGAGAGAAGTAAAATTATCTCTATTCATAGAGGACATGATCTTAGAAAGTTCTGAAGATTTAGGAATATCCTTTAAAAATCTCTTAAAACTCACAAATAAGTTCAGCAAAGTGTCAGGACACAAGATCAATATACAAAATTAATTGTATTTCTATATACTAGCAATGAATAATCTGAAAATGAAATTAAGAAGCAACTCCATTTATAATAGTATATGAAAGAATAAAATACTTAGGAATAAATTTAATAAAAGTAGTGTAAAACTTGCACATTTAAAACTATACAACTTTGCTGAAACTGGTTTGGCTCAGTGGATATTGCGTGGTCTGTGAACTGGGGGGTCCTAGGTTCAATTTCCGGTCAAGGGCACGTGCGTTGGTTGCAAGCACATCCCCAGTGTTTCTCTCTCGTCGATGTTTCTAACTCTCTATCTCTCTCCCTTCCTCTCTGTAAAAAAATCAATAAAATATATATTTTTAAAAACCACTATACAACTTTACATGAAATATCAGGAGGATCACTCTGTAAAATATATGATTGTCTAACCAGAAAAAAATAAAATAACTATACAATTTAGTTGATAAGAATTCAAGAAAACCTTAAAAAAGGGAAAGACATCCTATGTTACATTTTTAGAATAGTAGTACTACTCAAAGTGCAATTCCAACCAAAATTCCAACTGCTTTCTTTACAGAAATTGACAGGCCTGTCCTAAAATTCATTTAGAAATGTGAGGCATCCAGAATAGCCAAAACAATCTTAAAAAAAGAACAAAGCTGGAGTTCTCATACATCCTGATTTTAAAACTTACTCTGAAGCTATAGTAAACAAAGGTGTGGTACTGGCTTAAGTTTAGACATATATATCAATTGAGTAGAATCGAGAGTCCAGAAATAAATTCATACATCTATGGTACTTTTTTCATTTTTTTTATTAAGGTATTATGTGTGTACATTTCTTACCTTTACCCCACTCCTATACATGCCCTCACCCCCCAGAGTTTTGTGTCCATTGGTTATGTTTATATACATGCATACAAGTCCTTTGATTGATCTCTTATATCCCCCACCTCGTCCTAACCTTCCTGCTGTAATTTGACAGTCTGTCCGATGCTTTATATGGTACATTTTTTAATAAGGTTTTCAAGACAATCCAATGGGGGAAGAAATATTCTTTTCAACAAATGATGGTGGAACAATTGTATATCTATACTGCAAAAGGAATAGAGAGTGACTGCTAATGGATATAGATTTATTATGGGGGTGATGAAAATGTTCTAAAATGAGATAGTGGTATTAGTTGCATAACTTTGTGAATATGCTAAAATCCACAGAATTATATCCTTTAAAAGGGTGGATTTTATGGTATGTGAAATATCCTATATAATAAAATGCTAATATGCAAATTGTCCCCTCGACCAGGAGTTCAACCAGGGGTTGGGACCAGCAGGCCAACTGCCTGCAGCCCTGATTGGGCAGGCTGGCCGGACCCCATGCACAAATTCATGTACTGGGCCTCTAGTATCTCAATAAAAATATTAAAAAATTGAGTCTTCCAAAACTGAACATCCTATGATTTATTTAACTTCCACAATTCTGCAATTTATGCCATTCAAGAAATTCCTGCATCTGTGTGCAATAATTTAAAATAAAAATGGATGCCGGAAAGAAAGCAAGCAAAAAAAATAAAAAAAATAAAAATGAAGAAGTGGAAATAACTAAAAGAACCAATACACGGATAAAAGGAACTAAGGAGTAGACATGAGAAAAAAGGGATTCGCCAGCACACAATCCCTAGATGGTTTTTCCCCTACATATTCTTATCAATGTATAACTGTGTTCATTCTTCTTAACACTCAAGTTACTAAAAATCAAGGTATGATATTTTACTATAAAATGCTTGATAAAGTAATTGTACTTTATTTAAATAAAACTTTAAATATTATTTAAATATAATATTAATAGGGAAAAGGGGGTTCCTGTACAAGGAGGCGGACAAGGTTTATGGGTAGTATGAACAAGCTCTAAGAAGCTGGAGCGAGTGGGCTGAGAGGGCAGAAATGCCTCCAACAATTAAAAAGCCTTTGTAGGCATATTTGGAACAAGAAAAAGAATCAGGAAGCCGTAGGCCCACTGCTTTCCCCGCTTAACTGAGAAGGACTAGGAGCCCCACTAAAACATGGTGAGCTTGGGACTCTTGCTGTAACATCAACAGAAAGCAGAACTACTCAGCTATTATTTCGCTTCCTCCTTTTCCTCTGAAAATGATCCAGAGATGGTAGAGGGGGCCCAGCCATAATTGAGAGGGCGTTCAAACCCTGGGAATGAGGTGCTTTCAAGGGCCTGCACAGGCAAGGCCCAGTAAGTACTTGAGTGGATGGATGGATGGATGGGAGGATGGTATAGGAAAAACATGTACTTGTGCTCAAAGGTCTATGGTTGGTGTTTTTTAAGAAAATGTGAAGAATATGAAAAGTATCAGAAAATTGGAAGCAGCCAGATGTCCCAGTTTTCAAAAAAGGAGAGAAACAGGTTGTGTTCAAGAACAAAGCTCTACGTCATTCCTTTGATAAGCTCTAGACTCCATTATTAAAGAGAAGAGAGGTGAAGGCACTCACAGGAGGTAGCTTGATTCACCCTTTTAAAAAGGTCCCATTAGAGCCCTGGCTGAGTACTCAGTGGATTAGAACAGCATTTTTCAACCGCTGTTCTGCGGCACACTAGTGTGCCGCGAGATGTTGCCTGGTGTGCCGTAGGTGCAGACAAGACAAGAATTTTATAATTTTTCACTATTTTGTTTACTTAATATTTCATAATAAAGTAATTATAAAATACTTTCTTTGTGTTTACTTTATTCCTATTCAAGAGAATTACTTTATATATAGTCAATATAGGCACAGAGTTAAATTTTTTAACATTTTCTAATGGTGGTGTGCCTCGTGATTTTTTTCATGAAACAAGTGTGCCTTTGCCCAAAAAAGGTTGAAAAACACTGGATTAGAACATGGTCCCATATAACACGGTTGCTGATTCAATCCCCTGTCAGGGTACATACAAGAATCAACCAGTGAATGCATAGATATGTGGAAGCAAATCACTGTTTCTCTTTCCCTTCCTCTCTCTCTAATTAAAAAAATAATAATCCCATTTGAAAAACACAAGAGCTAATTTGGTGGTTCTCACCCTCATCCAGGCACTGGAGCCCCTGAAAATCATAGCCAGATACCATGCCACCATGCCCTCTCCAGATCTCTCTGAGATATAGACATTTTATTTTTTACAGAAGAATAAGACTATACTTACAACATATAAGATCACACCTATACAACCTACTGTTCATTCATTCAAATAATATTGATTTTGGGAATGGGCCTGGCTAATCACAGAGCTTAGCGTTTCATGGGGAATATGGAAAAGAATCTACAAGCCATTAGGGCTCAGGATGTGCCCCTAAAAGCACAGGGTGAGATGGAGATTAGAAAATCCTCCCCGAGGATACAGCCTAAAAGCCAAGCCTGGGAATTAGCTGCCCTAAGGAGACCAGGAGGTGAGGGCAAGAAGGTGTCAAAGGTGAGGCCCAGGTTTCTTGGGTAACAGGAGCTATCCACCGAGATGGGGACCTAAGAGGAGGAAGAGTGGGGCATAATTAGGAGCTTAGATTTAAACCCAGGTTTAAGTGGGCACAGGTATAGAGTCCGCGAGGGGTCAGACATATGGATCTGGAGTGAGAGAAAAGAGCTTGTGGAGACACTTGGAAAAAGTCAGTGAAGAGGTGGTCGTATCAGGGGAAGATGTGGCTCGGAGCCATCTTAGGGCTCTAATGGTTGCAAGTTGACAGGCATTTATTACAAAAGGCTTAAGTAAAAAATATATATATATACAGATTTTCTCATGAAACTGGTAAGACCAGGTGTACTGGCTCCAGACCTGGCCTAGGGCACAATCAGCTGAGGACTCCGCTTTGCTGCCTCCCGCATGCTGACTTCCTTTTCAGTCCGTTTCCCCTCATGGAGAGGGCAGGTGGCTGTCTCCAATTCCAGACTCATATTCCGTCAGCTCAGATGAGCATCTCTTCCCCCACAGTTTAGCAGAAATCTCATGTTTGAGTTTCAGTCGTTCAACTTTGGCCAAATGCCCATCCCTGAGCCACTCCCTAGGGCCCGGGGGAATGAAATAACCCTTGCCTGAGTTGTCAACCCCAAACTATGTGGACTCGGAGTGGGGTGAGGTGCCTCCTCAGGGTGTTGGAAATGGATACTGGACAGGTGAAACAGCAGGGAAAGAGAGGAGAGGGGTGGTCAGCAAAGTCAGCTCGTCCGGGAAAGGATGAAAATAGAAGCAGTGGATTAGCCGGCGTGAATCAGGGTGACCTTCGCAAGAGCCATGTCAGTAAGTGGTGGTGATAGAACCCAGGTGGTGATGGGTCGAGGAATGAGTGGGAGGTGAGACATCAAATATAGAAAACTCTCAGCAGTTGGGCACAAAGGGGAGGAACCGTGCCCTGGTCACAGGCATTCCAGAGCTTTGGTTCAAGATGAACAGGAGTTCGTGTTGATGGAAGGAGGCCGTCGAGGGGCAGCAGCTGGTGTTTCAGACGCCCAAGGAGAGTCATCGGCTCTCCCTGTCTCTCCCTCCCCTCCACTCTCTCTAAAGAAAAAAAATATATATCCTCTGGTGAGGATTAACAGAACCAAACAAGAATGCCTTTTCACTTTTTACTTCTTACTTCAGCCTCTGTTCTCTGGAATGCAATTCTGGGAGGTTGTAAATAGATGTTCAAAGGAAAAAACGCTTCTCTAGTCAAGTAACTCTGGGAAAGGCTGTGTTCGGTAGCCTCCTCATGAAGCTCACAGGGCTTCAGGTCAATGTAAAGTCTATTGTAAGATTCATAACTTACAGGTCATAACAGGAAACACAATAGGTCTTCATTGCACGCACAGTTGAATGAATGAGTGGGAAAATAAACAAGGCTGTGAAATTGGAAAGCGTGTTGCTTTTGGTTCCAGTAAACTCCTCTCCCTTTCTTCTTTTCCCATTCTCCCACCCCCCTTCCAGAACGGCATGGAAGGTGGAGTGGAGCAACTACACGGGACAGCTGGTGTTAGACAGCGGTGTGCTTTAAGAGCAGGATAAAGAGAGATGTGAAAAGGGTTTACCCAGCAAATTCCAGTTTCTTGGTACAGCAGGATAACATTCCCTACTAGGTCGGCAGTTTCAAATATGATGTGTTCTGAATTAGCATTCCTGGTGATAATATGTCAATGATTTAACTAAGGGAAAAACAAAATTGAAAATAAAAGGTTTCACACTTAAAGAAGACATACAGTTTTAAAATGCAAGTGAAGTTCATTCTGACCTAGTTTTTTAATATCTCAGAGAAGATTAAAATTTTAAAGTAGGTGAAATATTTGTTCAGGGATATTTATCTCAGCATTATTTATATGAGTAAGAAATGGGAAGCTATTTAAATACCCAACAGTTAGGAAATGGTAAACTAAGTTGATACATATTCACCTTAGAACAGTATGCAGCCATTAAAAATTATTTACAAAGCATTTTTAAATTTCATTTATTTATTTATTTATTTATTTATTTTTATTGATTTTGTACAGAGAGGAAGGGAGAGAGATAGAGAGTTAGAAACATCGATGAGAGTCATCGATCAGCTGCCTCTTGCACACCCCCTACTGGGGATATGCCTGCAACCAAGGTACATGCCCTTGACCGGAATCGAACCCGGGACCCTTCAGTCCCCAAGCCGACGCTCTATCCATTGAGCCAAACCGGTCTCGGCTACAAAGCATTTTTAATGGTATAAGGAAAAGCTAATGGTGAGAATCTAAGTACAAACTTGTTTAAATGCTTTGATCCCAATTTTATTTTTAAAAATACATGTGCAAAAAATGGATAGAAATATTTCAAAATGTTGAAAGTGGACATCTTGTACTACTAATGTGGTCTTGTGCAATTTACTTAACTTGTCATAGCACAGTTTTCTATAAGCTAGGAATAAGAATACCTGCTCCAACAATAGTGAGGGTAAAGTGGTAAAACATGTCAAAAGCCTTATAAATTGTTCAACATCATTTCATAAATTATTTGTTATTTGGTGGTGTCTAACAGTAGAGTTGATGGTTGTACCAAGTTATATATTCGGGAACATTTTATAAGACAATTGTAATAGTAAAGGTTTGATTCTCCTCCCACTTCCATTTCTTGGGATTAAACATGAGGATAAACAAAGGAAACTTTTTAAAAACATCATTTCCAGATTCTAAACAAATCAGAGTTGAAGGACTGACCGTTCCTTTTCATTCTCTCTCCTAATGAAACAGTGGGTCAAGTATTATCAATAAAAACCTCATATTAAACTCTCTAACACTTATTATAAATCGAAATTATTTAAACTCATAGCCACAAATTTAAAAATAAGGAAATAAAATGTTTCACAGAACTCAAAAGTTGTACTTTATATATTTCTTCCACATCTGTGTGGTTTAAAACTTAGTAATACCCAAAGGATAAAATGATTGTTGGGGTTAGTTTAATGCTCTTTTTAAAAAGCCCCAGGCTATGCCAATGACTTGCACTCTCTAGTGTACACAGAGGCCAGTGTTGACACAAGCATCTTTTAAAATCTCATCATTACCCAAGCAATTTCTCTAGACATTTTGAGAATTTTAAATTAATGCTTATAATATGCCCCAAATACAGGTGTCATAATGCTTTTTAGAGTGCTTGCTTAATAGCTATTGAATACTGCTCACAAGTCTTAGGTTTGTATGTGTGTTATGATTCATAGACTGTGTTCCTATAAACGCTCCTATGGGAGCCTGACTCAGCGTCTCAGGCTCCGACTTCGGGCAGGGAATGTTCCCACAGGACTAGTAGAAACCCTAGGCTCTTATAAACCACTTCATCTATTTGAGCCCTAGTTTTCTCATCTGTACAATGGGGACAAAAATAGTATTTACCCAAGATACTTAGAATGGAATAAGTTTAAGAATGCATGGATGAATACTCAGAAGAGAGAAAATTTGCAGCTGGAATTTTGGAATAATGAGCCTCTTATAGTTTGTTCATTTGTATTTTAGTCATTCTTATGCCCATCTTTGAGAGGATGGTGGGTGCTTGCATCTGTTGAGGGATTTTCCATTTTCTGAAGATTCTTTCTTCTTGTCACATGACTTTTTTTTTCTTTCTATGAAGTTAAAAAGTCTAGCCTAAGCAGTGGAAGAAGGAAGACACTGTCCACACGTCCCCTGGCAGGAAAGCAGCTCTGTGAGCCTAGGCCCATGGTCGGCAAACTGCGGCTCGAGAGCCACATGCGGCTCTTTGGCCCTTTGAGTGTGTGGCTCTTCCACAAAATACCACCGACTGGGCGGGTCTATTTTGAAGAAGTGGCGTTAGAAGAAGTTTAAGTTTAAAAAATTTGGCTCTCCAAAGAAATTCCAATCGTTGTACTGTTGATATTTGGCTCTGTTGACTAATGAGTTTGCCGATCACTGCCCTAGTCTGAACCATGGCCCTCAGCTCACAGGGACAAGGAGGTGTCGGCACTCCCGTCCTCCCACCACCCCTCTGCCCTGCTTCTCGGAATCCAAGTGTTTGTCCCTTTTTACATTGGTGGCTTGGCTCAAGACTCGGGGAGCAGCCACCACTGGAATTGGCAGCTTCTCCGAGAACTCAGGAAAAGGAGAGCGAGGGGAGCCAGGGACAGAAACCCAGCCTAAGGCACAGGATGCCTGTGAGGGGGCTGCTGCTCCGAGCCGAGGTGGACTCCTTTCTGTGGCTTCCTGTGGCCGCCTGCTCTTTGGAATCCTCGTTATCGCAGATGACCCACAGAGCCCCTGGGACTCGTGGCTTTGGAAAGCCTCCGAGCTGCCAAAACAAAAAGTTGAACACAGTGGACCAGCCTCGTGCGTGGGGAGCCTGTTTGTGCACATCACACCTCAGAGCTCTCTCAGACTCTTCCTTTCACGGTTGCTGGTTTTGAACCTGACCTCACTTCATTCTCACTTGGCTCATGTCAGACCCTGGGTCCTGGGCGTTCTCGGTTCTCTCCCTGCATGTGGTGTGTGCCTGCCTGCCCAACAGTGTGACATGGTGTGTCTGAGTTCACCATCACCACGGTGAACCTCTGCTGGGCCATCAGCTTAGCATGGCATATCGTAACTCATGTATCTGATAGGTTCTAGTTAGGGGACCAGGAGCTAGGGGGACCCCCAAGGCTGTGGGGCTGAGCCGGCAGCAAATGCCTCCACTCAGGAGGGAGGAGCCCCAGGCTCCAGTCCTGCAGGGCCACGGGCGCGTTTGACCAGCAACAAACTCAGTTCCTGCCCTCAGCTCCAGTCTCTTCACATGGACAGATATGGGGTTGAGCCAGTGGTTCCTAGGAGACTTTGGGGCTCTAGAGTTGTGTGTGTGGACTGTGCCCTGCAGGAAAAGGCCGCCTATCAGAAGAGAGGGGGGTAGGCCCACCAATAACACCAATTCTACATGTTCCATGAAGCGTTCACGAGAGAACGTGAGGCAGGGAGTGACCAAAACAAGGTCCTGGGATGACCAGGGAGACCTGCCACAAAGGAGGCAGGGAGGTGGCTCAGAGTGGGTAGGATAGATGCTAGAGATCATGAGACATGATTCCCCACCAGAGAGGAAGCGAAGTGAGGGGAGATGGGGGCAGGAATTTCGGGCCTAGAAGAGACTGATCAAGAGGGGAACAAAAGGCCCAGACTGCAAAGTGTGGCTGTGGGGGTTCCTGAATCGGAGTTATCTGGGAAGGACGGGGCTGTTAGAGTGGTGCTTTAGAAAAAGCATCTGATCTTCAAGGGCAAATGGGGGAGAGGGAGTACGGGAAGTAGGGAGTGACCAGAGTCCAGATGAGGCGTGATGAGGAGGCAGAGAGGTGAGGGAGGGAGGCCGGAGCCTGATGACCGCCTGGATGAGGGCTCAGAGAAAGTCTGAGTCCACAGATTCTGGTTCTGCTCCCACCACGTGCCAGACACTATTCGCCACTGGGAGACTATGGTGAGCCAGACAGACGAGGCTCCTCTCTCTCAATGTGCTCCTAACCTCTGGGACAGTGACATGCCAACAGTAGCATACTTTCAGATACTGATTTGTGCTATGAGCAGGGGAATGAGAGCGAGAGCGAGAGAGAAAGGGAGAGGGAGAGGGAGAGGGAGAGGGAGAGCGAGAGGGAGAGGGAGAGGGAGAGGTGGGGACATCAGACAGATTGGAAAGGCTACTTTGTCAATGGGCATTTATGACTGTCTCAACCATGTGCCAGAGATGGCTGTAACACGTGGGAAGCATCAGTGAACAGGAGAGACAAAAAGACTGCTTTCCTGCAGCTTATACTCCATCAGGGGGAGATAGGGAATAAACCATAAAATAATAAATAAGTACATTTTCTATTATGAAAGAGGGAATAAGAGCTATGGGAAAGAGAACACAATTTTTATCTAATTTTTTGCTGTTATAGATAATGCTGCAATGAACATCTTCATGCAGAAATCTTTCTCATGTGTCTAAGGATTTTCCCTAAGGATAGATTTCAAAAAGTAGAATTACCCCCATTTTGAAGGTTTTTAATACAAAGTATCAAATTGCTTTTTAGTGAAGTTATACCAACTTATTTCTCCAGCATATGTAAGGGTGTTTATTTTACTACAGCCTCACCAGCATTGAGTATTATGAGTTTTTTAAAGTGCCGATGTGCTATTTATTTAATTGGTATTACCTTGATAATGAAATTGAAAATTGACTTTTGGCTTTTTATTATCTGTGGGGGAAAGTATCACTAAACAAAATAATGTAAACCAACTATAAAATATAGTAATATTTTTTTTCTAACTTGGTTTCTTCCTCTGTACCTGGGATTGGATGATTTACCAAGGTTGCAGACCCTTTGTAGGCTGTCTTGGCAAGCCAACCATTGCAGTAACAACTGATTCTATGGAAAGTGCCTGTCAAATTTCAAGACAACACCTGGACCTAACCCTTTTGTGAGTTGGGGACTGTGTGTGCTGCAGCAGGCCTGGGGGCACTGGCTGCTGTCCTTCCAAACCCCGGCCCCTCTCCCCAATTTCCTCCCCTTCCTCCCTCTGTCCCCTGGATCTCCTGACTTAGCCTCATCCAGGCCACAAGGCATGGAAATCAAACTGGACCTGAATGGGTGTGATCTGGACTTGAATTCTAGCTTTGCTGCTGCTGACTTCAGACTGAGATCCCTAAAACCCAAATTCCCCATTCCTCTGTGAAATCCACACACTCCTTCTACACTCCACACATGCTGGAGTTTTGCAAAATGTGAGTCACTGTCACTTTTACCAGAATTTATAAACATGAATATTTCTCCTATGAGTATTTACTAGTATTTATTAGTCTAGTAGGTGCCTGGAAAAGTTTTGAATTTTTAAAAATTAAATGTGAACATGTTTTGAAAATAGCACCTCTTCTGCCCGGCTTTTCTTCAGGGAGAAGAGAGACAGCTGGCCCTGTTGTTAGGGCAGCCCCAAGACCACGCAGGCTCTTTTCCTTCACTCACAAGGAAATGTGGTGCCCGATGCCCAGCGGGACACTGTGCTGTGGCCCTGAACTCCCTTGTGCTCCTCATCCCTGAGCAAACCACCTGCTCGAACCCAGGTTTAAACCTATCTGGAGACAGCGCAAGACCTGGGGTCCAATTGCCAGCATTCCATTTCCACTGAAACATTTACTGTGTGACCTTGGTCGGGTTGCTTAGCCTCTCTGGTGCTCGGCATTCCCACCAGACAATGAGAGTGTCGGTGGCCTCCTCAGAGTGCTTCATGGATTGAATGAAACAATGTGTACATAGAGGGCTTTGTACTGCACCAGGCTAGTAGTGGGTACTTGGTAAATGCTGGGAGCTATGATCCAATTTTTTTCATATTTACTCTAAATTCAGTGGATATATTTAAATGATGTATCTATTCTTATGCTCCACAGCTTCACAAAAATTAAGAAATCCTGGATGACATTAAAACTAGCGATGAGATCAATTAAGTGTTTAGAAATAGCCTGCTGCAACTGCTAAACAATCTTCATTTTATTTACGTAGAAAACCTAGATCTAAAGGGTGGCGTAATTTCTTATTCGTAGAAAGATGGCAACATGGTTGGACATTTGATAGTTCAGTTCTTCTATCCCTAGAAATAAAAATCACAGGTACTATGCTTAAATTTGATCAGTCGGGGCATTGTAGGAATAAAGGAAATCGTTTAGGGCCAAGTAGATTGTTAGCTGCAGGAACGGGGAGCTGGAGGAAGTTTGCAGGTTTCTGCCCTGAGCCTTTCCCAGGGTGCAGGCTCATCTCCCCAGCAGGGCTGGGACATGGCGCTGCCCCACTGCCCTTGCGCAGGGACCCTTCCACCGCCCGCCCCCCCGCCCCCCCCCCCCCCCAGTGCCTCTTCACAGCCACTGCCAAGTGTTCTCTGAAGGTGCTGCATTTCAACCTGCTGCTTGGTCATGAGTGAAATGTATTCCAAATGTACTCCAGTTGATCCTTAACAACATGGGTTTGAACTGTGTGGGTCCACATATATGCTGATTTGTTTTAGCAAATACTATAGATTTATTTTCTCTTTTTTATGATTTTCTTAGAAACATTTTCTTTTCTCTAGTTTACTCTATTGTAAGAACATAGGTGTGTTTTTTGTTTTTACTCCTTTAATGAATTTATTGGAGTGACATTGGTTAATAACTTTATATATCGATAGGTTCCAGATGTACAATTCTGTAACACATCATCTGCATATTGTATTGTGGGTTCACCACCCCAAGTCAAGTCTCCTTCCATCACCATTTACTCCCCCATACCCTCTTGTACCTCTCCTCACCCCCTTCCCATTACAATTTACGATACATATAATATACAAAGTGGGTTTTAATTGTTTGTGTTATTGGTAAGGCTTTGGGCCATAACAGTCTATTAGTAGTTAAGTTTGGGGGGAGTCAAAAGTTATACATGAATTTTCAGTTGCATTGTTCAAGGGTCGGCTGTCCTCTCTTCCTCCTGTTCTTCCTGGCTGCAGAGGAAAGAAGGAGCGGCCTTTCCCCACCCACCCCCTGTTTCCATGAACACACAGGGTCTCCCTGCAACGTGGAAAGGGAGTCTTGGCGGGAGGGAGGGAGGGAGGGAGGGGCGGGCTCTGGTGGCTTCGCCTGAAGGCGGTGCTGGTGGGCGGGGAGGGCTATGTGAGGGCTTATCCCGTTCCCACAGAAAGCAGACCTGCCCCAGCCCAACATGCCACTGAGCCAGTCCCAATGCCCTGCATTTCATCACCTGGTCTCCTCTGCCCGCTGACTGAGAGTCCTCAATGGCATTTGCTAGGGCCACTGTACACAGATGTGCAGGTTAAACTACCTGCAGGCAAAGAGGCATGTGGGGAGGGGGGGCATGTAAAATCCAGCCAGAGTCCTCCTTGTTGAATCTTGGTCTGGGGCTGTGTCTGCCTAGAGCCGTGGTTGGCAAACTGCGGCTCGAGAGCCACATGCGGCTCTTTGGCCCCTTGAGTGTGGCTCTTCCACAAAATACCACGGCCTGGGTGAGTCTATTTTGAACAAGTGGCATTAGAAGAAGATTAAGTTTAAAAAGTTTGGCTCTCAAAAGAAATTTCAATCATTGTACTGTTGATATTCGGCTCTGCTGGCTAATCAGTTTGCCGACCACTGTCCTAGAGGAAAGGGCACCTTTTCCCAATTTGCACAAAGTGCTACCGACGGCCCTGGTGATATCTACTCTCCCCTCCCCTCTTTTTACCCCCATCCTCCATAGCAGCCTCTGCTGCTACTGAATTATTTGGAAATGTTCTCCAATAGCTACAGCCTTCAGGAGCCCAAGGGAGCTGTAAAATGCACAAAAGAGGGTGTGCCAGCCTCATAGACTGTCAGTGACAGGAAGGAGATGGTTCATTATTTCATTCACTTCATGGCGTGCCCTCTGTGGGCAGGCACAGTGATGGGTGCTGGGCTATGCGTCTGGCCACAGACATGGGCCTGTCTGCAAGGGACAACAAGCAGAGAAGCACAGTGCCATGGTGAGCACCATGACGGCCCACAGAGGAGGTGTCCCCAACATGCTGGAGGGACAGGGACACTTCCCTAAAGGGGGTGGGCTGAGCAGGGTCTTCCAGGGTACATGGGAGCTGGCTGGATACCTGCTCTGGGGTGGTGTCTGTTGCACCAAGAATTGCTGTGCTGAGCAGAGGTGCGTTAGCAGGCCCAATCAGCCAGCCAGATGTCCGACCTCGTTCACTGGCTTCTTACCTGGGGAGGTAAGGGAGATAGGTCTTTTTTAAGCTTTGAAAAATGATTATTAGCAAAAGAATAAATCCTGCTCCTTTTCGGGGGGTGGGGGTATATAACTGGTAGACCGTTTCTGACCGTTTGCTTTGTGACAACATGCTGTTTCTCCCCCCCCTCCCAGATACTTACTGGAGCAGGATTTCCCTGGCATGAGGATCGGCCCGGAGCCCACCACCGACTCCTTCATCGCGGTGATGTACGGGGAGAGCGAGGGCAGCACCCCGGGGAACGCTTTGGTTGTGGACCCCAAGAAGCCGTTCCGAAAGCTCGGTCGCTTCGGAAATGCTTTCCTGAACCGGTGAGGACCCGCAGCCCACCACCTTTGGGCAGGTTATTTTAAACGGTTCTTTGAATTCTTGCCAATTACATGTAAAGGTTCAAAAACAGAGCTGAACGTGTCTGTTCTAGAAGAGAGGCGTCATAGAGAATATGCTTTTGCTATTCAAATGTTTGAATCCTGCCCTGGCCCGGTAGCTCAGTTGGTTAGGGTGTCGTCAGTTGTGCCAAGATTGCGGGTTCCGTCCATGGTCAGGGCACCTACAAGAATCAGCCAATGAATGCGTAAATCAGTGGGGGAACAAATCAATGTTACTCACTTTCTCGGTCCCTCTCTCCCTTCCTTCCCACCCCCTCTCTAAAATCAATTTTAAAATATATTTGAAAGATTTTCAAAGAAAATGATCATTCCACCTATTCTGGGTGACTTCAGAGAGCAAAACTAAGGCCCAGGATTGGACATTATAAGGCCGCACAGTATAAGGAACAAATTTTTAATAGTTTGAGCTGCGTAGAATTGATCATGTTGCCCTGTGAGGTGTGAGCTCCCCGTCGCTGGCCGGACGGCCACCGCTCAGGCCGAGTGTGCCGGGGCCTCCCGCGCAGAGCCGAGCCCGAGGACCCTGAGGCACAGCTGACCCCAGATTCAGTCTGTTGGTTATTGCAGGACAGACCACCTCCTCTCCGTGGCTGCTGCTCACTCCCATGCCGTGAGCGGCTCCCTTCTTTATTAGAGCAGAGCATGGGAAATAGAGCCAAAGCAACACAAAAAGTTAATTTTTATACGCGGGCTTTTTATAGATGTGAAGTTGCAGGGTAGCCGAAGTACTGTCTTCACTGGAGATGCAGCTGTACTACCCCACCACCTTTCACCAGAGTTCCCCCGGAAATGGTGAGAGGGCAGAGAAGAGCCAGCAGGTTCTCCCGGAGGCAGCTCTGCTCTCTCAGTGTGACCTGCTCCTACCTTCCCCGCCCCCTCACTCCTCATGGCCACTCCTAGCGGGTTTTTTTGTTTGTTAGTTTTTTAACATTTCCCTTTATTTTTCCCTATCATTCCCTTCTCCCCTCCACATCTTTTCTTATGAGTTTGCTGCCTTAGGCTGGTTGGTTTGAGGGAGTGGGCTATGGGAGGTTCAAGGACAAGTTGGGAGTCATCCATACCCCTTTAGGGAGAGGTGGAACTAGAGCTGACAGACAAGAGACTTGAACTGCACTTCTTTTTTTTAAGCTGGTTTTCAAAAATAGGAATGTATCTTCCCAGTGGACTGCTGTCCTCCCAGAGGCTGAGACATCTCGTTGCACAACTCCAGGGGGCGCCATTCATGAGGACTATGGAATGATGTGCCTGGGAGCTGTGCAATGGCTCTGCCCACAGTGGTCCAGGCAACCTCCACAGGTGCCTTCTGTGGAAACCTGAACTCTCTAGGGACCCATACTCTCCATTAAGGGCTTTTCATGCTGCTGTAAGATCAACAAAAGAAAGCGGCAGGGGAGAGCGCTGCAGCGGGATAAATAGAAAGGTGACATGGCATAGCTGAGCACAGAGAGATGTCATCTTGTTGCTAGCAGGGAACTCGGTTTATTCCTGAACTGCAGAGCGTCTTTTGGTGGGAGAATTAGAGGTCGAGCCCAGGAAGGGAACGACAGAGGGTCTCTCGGGAAGGGGTGGGAAGGAGTAAACCACACTTGAGGGGAAGTAGGACAAGAAGCTCCCCCATCTGGGCCTCCCGGGAAGCTGCGGTCATGGGAAGGCAGGAGCCAGGCTTCCTGTCCCAAGACTGGCCCAGAGAGGAAGTGCAGGGCACAGAACCCTGACTTCTCGGTGGAAGGCCTCCTGGGTCCTGCAGTTTCACCACTGCACTCAGTCTTACTCTCCTTTTGCCTGACAAAGGTTTAAAAAAGAAAGAAGCTGTGACTTTTTTCAAGTTCCCATTTTGTGAAGTCCATTTTCACAAGAGAAAACCCAGGAAGAGTAGTTTGGGGCTTATTTAATTTTGGCAAGTGATTTACTTTCCCAACAGATGTTTTCAAATCCCAAACATTTATCAGATGAGTATGAAAAACAAAGCATTTAGGAAAGATTTTGAATAGCAAGGTTCATTATCTCAGAATCGAAAACTTGCTGAAAATAATCCATGCATTATATAAGCAAGTGTTAATTAAATTCAGACGACATAGAAAAATAATGGCTAATAATTATATGGTATGTACTGTGTCAGATACTGTTCTGACTTTATATTAGCTCTAAATGTCTTCACAAAAGCCCTGTGCCTAGGTGCTACTGTCATCCCTAACGTAGCGAGGAGAACTGATGCATAGAGAGATTGATTTAACCTCCACAGGATCACTCAGCTAAGTGGCAGTGATGAGATTGGAACCAAGGCCATCTGGCCCAGAGTCCTGCTAGTGACATTCTACTGAGCTGCCCGATTATATACTGTTTACACTAAGAATCATTGCCTACTGCCCCCCTATCTGACTTTTAAAGCTGTTCTTAACATAAGAATGATGAAAATGGTGCCGTTTCACCCCAGCTCTTATGTAAGAGAGTCAGTAAGTGTAGGGCGCTCAAATGTGTGTACGTAATTTTAGCACCCCTGTGGGAATATCAGCAGGTTCTGTCTAAAGGCAGGCAAACTTCTTTTTACATAGTATACTTTCTGGGAATGAGGTCAGAGTACAATACCACATAGAAGAGACTCATCTGCCTTCTGTGGGGAACTCCCTTCCCCCACTGAGCATCCACCGGTCACCCATGGGACAAGTCCCATTGGCCTGGCCCCCTCCTTATAGGGCATTGGCTTGGGCATCTGCTCCCAGCAGCATCTTTAAAAGAGTTTAGTGCTTCCCCTGGTCGTACCAGATAACGCCTGGAGCGTGACAGCAGCCTCAAAGCATTAAGCAAACCAGTGGAGCCTAAGTCTCAATCTCCAAGGCCAGTTCCTAAGAAAGTAACAGGGAGTCTACAGTGCATTTTTGAGAAGTGAAGACAAATTCCCAAAAGGGCAGCTTCAAATGATAGAAATTCCATAATTGAGCGATAAAAGCAGGAGTTGAGTCTGGAACAAAAAGAATTATATGGAAACGACTTTAGCGTGACAGTCTGCAATTGCACTTCTGAGAGGCATTCCACAGGCGGGCCTATCTCGGAGTTGCTCCATGGTTATTGAGGTTACAGAGTCTGTTATCAGGAGGCAGTTCCACTGCACAGAGGAGGAGATGGACATACCAACAGCACCCTGAGGCGTGATCCTGGGAGACAGACACTCGTGTGTTTTGGTCAGCTCAACAAGTGTCAGGAATTGGCTTCTGACATTTCCCTCTGCAGTCTGCTTTTGAATTGGATGTCATGTTTTCCCCTCAATATAGTTTTCTAAAAGTATTAGTCTGTTTTTCAAATTCAGACAGCTTCAGACATTGTTTTAAAATTTAGCATATAGTATAATTTTAAATTGTAGTCTTCCAGAGAACACATTCTTAATCTCATTTATTTCTTCATTGCCTCAATTTCTTTAAAAAATAATTTTAATCATTAGCCTTAGGGATTAAATTTTGAAACTTCCTTTTTAAACTGAAAGAATTTGAATAGTATTTTTAGTGCACCTATTATTTTAACTAGATCTTATAATGGTGATGATATAAAAAATATTGTCTTACATTTTTGCAATAATTTAGCAATAGTAGAATACATATGGGTATTTTTGGACTTATACTCTTATTTGTTACCTCTATGTTTGTCATTAAAGAGGCTTTACTAAATAGACTCTTTTTAGATTATGAGTAATACATAGTCATTTAGTATCACTGTGAATTAAAAAAAAACTGAATACAAGTGTACAATGTCAGTCCAGACACATGCTGGCTCTACCATCTAATTTAGCTGCAGAGATGAAGGGAAATAGATTCTTGCCGAAAATCACTGCTGATTAACCAGAAAAAAAATTTTTTTTTTTTAATTTGAGGCATTAGTTGGTTTTTGTGTGTGTGCTATGCTACATGTTAGGGTACAAAACAAATCTTTATAAGTTCAAGAAGATGGAAATCATATCAAGCATCTTCTTGGATCACAACAGCACAAAACTAGAAATCAACTACAATAAAAAAAACTCAAACATTCAAACACATAGATGCTAAATAGTATTAAACAATGAATGGGTTGCCAATTAGATCAAGGAAGAAATCAAAAACGTCCTGAAAATAAATGAAATTGAACACATAAGGACACAGAGAAAGCAGTCCTGAGGGAAGTTCATAGTATTACAGGCCTACCTCAAGAAAAAGATAAAGCTCAAATCCTATATAATAAAAACCTAATATGCTAAGTGTCTAGCCGTCTAGTCATCAAAGTGTAATATGCTAATAACATGCTAAGGCTGCTCAACTGCTCATTATGACATGCACTGACCACCAGGGGCCAGATGCTCTGACCAGTAGGTTAGCTTGCTGCTGGGATCCAGCCATTCGGGACTGAGCAAGGCGAGCTGAACATGTCCTGGAGCCCTCCTGCAGTTCCTTCCCCCAGCTAACCCTGCCCCTGATGGACCCCATCTGTGCGGGCAAGCTGGACCCCACCCATGCATGAGTTCATGCACTGGGCCTCTAGTAAGTGATAAACCCTACAACTAAAAGAAGTAGAGCCCAGAAAAAGAAAAGCCCAGAAGAAGTAGAAGGAAGGAATAATAAAGATCAGAGTGGAAGCCCTAGCTGATTTGGCTCAATGGATAGAGTGTCAGCCTACAGACTGAAGGGTCCTAGGTTCGATTCCAATCAAGGGCACATTCCCGGGTTTCAGGCTTGATCCCCTGTAGGGGGCTTGCAGGAGGCAGCCAATCAATGATTCTCTTTTATCATTGATGTTTCTCTCTCTCCCTCTCCCTTCCTCTCTTAAATCAATAAAAAAAATAAAAATAAAAAAAAGATCAGAGCTGAAATAAATGACACAGATACTAAAAAGCAATATAAAAGATGAATGAAACCGAGAACTGGTTCTTTGAAAAGATAAACAAGATTGATGAACCTTTA